CTGTAGGGGCTCATCCTGGACTGGGACCTGATAGAGGTACTCAAGGATGTAATATTTCTGCTACTTTCATCATACTAGTGCCCAGAAGCATTTTCAAGGAAACCCAGTTTTAGGATAGATATTCTTGCAGATTAAATGCACAAGGACTCGCACAATTACATGCACACAAGATTTTCTTTAATGATCAATGTGTTTAATTACAATATATTCAAGAATACAAAAGAAAATGTATGCACCATTTATGTACAGAATAATACTATATATTTCATTATAAAAGGATTGCACGTTCATCAAACAATTTAAAAAATATAGGTGTAGCACCATGGCGTTTATTAAGTTTCTGAAGCACCAATCTGAACTCGTAAAATATGCCTATTGAGGTTTCAGTTTGCAGTTGCAGTTTTGCATACTACAGAATATGCAACATTATGCAAATACAAGTATATCTATATGCACGCTTTAATTACTTCACAAAATCTCTTCCAGGCTTACCCCAGAAACTGTTTAATGTTTTGAATTTGACCACCGAAACAGGGTTCTAATTGTCCTGGTGTCGTACTGCAGATTATAACCATTGGTTTGCCCATTGTTATGTCCATGCCAATTTTGCATGGAAATTTAAGCATGCAGGTGTCACATGTTCACTGTGCAGTCTTTACACCATGCACGATGCGAGGTTTTGATTTGCTCCTTACTGAACTGTAATTCCTCCTGGAAAAAAGCAGACATCCTCAATGCAGTTGACAGTTTTACAGTTTCTCCTGTTGCTTTACTTCTTACTGGTGCTGTTGCTTCTTCAGGGCTTCTCTATTCTTTGTTCTGATTGGATTATGTGCCGTTTCCTTTCTGCACAGTCCATGCCTATTGCACCTGCTTCTGAGCTTTCACAACCTTGGAAAAAAAATCAGTTGTTCCTAAAACTCCCCAGTGTGTAAAAAGTGTAACACATTTTTACCTCGATTCTCTAGATCCTCCATACTCATTCCTTATGCCCTGTAGCAGGTGATTTACTGTATATTTTCTGTGCCAGTGTCCAAAACAACATACTCCAACTTTCTATGGCTTGTGTGCTGTTTTCTGCAGATGGTCTCTACACCCTGTGTGTAGTCCGACGATCTAGTTGCAATCAGTAAAACCAGACACTCTTCTTTAAATCATATACAGTACCTCATTCTTCTATATTTTATCCCTCAGTTCACATCTGTGCCCATATACCAATGTCTGCTTCTCCTAATGCAGTACCTCCCTTTGTGTCGCTAATACCAGTTCAGATATGCTTTGGCATCTGCTGGAGATGGTGACTTACTCTCTGGCGTGAGTGAGTCAACTCCAGGTGCTGAATATTTCATACCTTATACTGATACCTTATACCTTGTATATCTGCACGCACATGTACCAGGTTACAGAAATCTTGAAGCTTGAATTTGTTCAAGCCTGTAAAAACCGTAATGGATCCAATCTCTACACAATGAGAGTCTCATTTGCTTCCTAGAATTGAATTGTATCCACACACGATCAAAAAGCCTCTTTTCCTGGTAAGACTCACAGCAGGCAAGAGCCCAACCTAGACACACAGGGCAAGAGGCAGGACGGACTGCCCAGGGCTGTTCTCTCCCTGGTTGGGATGCCTGTCTATCGCAGGGCAAAGGAGGAAGAGAATTTCACATTCACCCAAACTTCGTCCAAATGTTTTTTGGGGGGGATTGATGGGGAAACCTGAGCACACGGACAAAACCCATGAAAGTGGAGGAGAGGCATGCAAACTCCATTGAGACACAATGACACAATGCCCCATGTCATGCGTGTGTCAGGACCCTGGAGCTCTGCTACAGCAGCACAAGCCATCAGACCACCCCCAGTCAGTTACAACCCCCCACTGCTGTTTCAGCAAGGTTGTAATGAGGCACTGCAGAGGGGGATTAGTGTTGATATATCAAGTCTTTGTACTGCACATGGGTTTGGGAAAAAAGCCATATATCTAAAACAAACCCATTGTGCATGCCTATAGAGTGAAAAACAATACATAGATTAAATCTGGAGTCATTCTTGATATGCTTTAACCAACACGATAAGTGTGATTTTTCAGAGCCACCACACCTGCAGAAGTAAAGCACTCTAAAAGTCTTTTGGGGATCTGGATGGTCTTCTCAGACATCTTTGATAATTCTTCGAATAGACTTTTCCTCTCTTCCCAGATTTCCAAGTTCACTTGCTTTTATTCTTTCCAGGTCTTTGCAATGCTAATTTCAATTATTCCCCATGCAGTTCTTGGCTTTCTGCGTGCTGAGGTACATTTGAAAGGCTTTCTTTTTAAAGGTTATTTACAGTTCTGGACAAGGAGGAGCACCAGATAAGAAGTGACATAACATATCAAGCCTAACGTGACACTGTACACTGATGCCACACTGCTTTAAGTAAATCTTAATTGATACACCACTAACCAGATACCACTTTCTTCTTAATGACTGCCTTTCATACCCCTTGTCCCAAGTCAAAAACATCCTCACTGCAGTGCTGGTGGAGATCCACAGTTTTCCTCGTGCGCGCTGGTGAGCCATGGGCCTCTTCGGAACAATCTTCAGAACAGGAACTCCAAGAGGTAAGTCAGGCTCCCTCTAGTGGGTGGAGGGAGCAGTGGCTGAAAAGGCCTTTGCAGAAGAAAAGTTAGCTAACCCGTAAACAGGTTATACATCCTTATTTATGCAATGGTCTTTCCTTAAAAAAAGAGGAATTACACATAATTAGTACATCTAGTCTTTTTCCGTCTCTCCAGTCGTATCGGCACGGGATCTAGACTGTTCTCGAACTCCTCTGAAGTTTAGGAAAATCCATACTGGCGAAATCCAGAAAGAGAAGCACCATTCATATGGGAAGAAGCCAGGTCCCGTCCAGATGGCGATGAATGAACTTGACAACACTGTCATCTCGTGATGCTCACTGCTCACTCTTGCTCACGGCATTTTGCTTCCCACCTCTCGACAGATGTACCCTGATCCGAGTTCATCATCATTCCTGAAGGCGTTTCGGGCCGAGCACACGGAAAAGCTGCACCATTTCATTTATTCTCCTGGGAACCACGGATCGGGAATGCGTGTCCAACAGCAAGTGGCAGGAGTGACGAGCAGGATGTTAAAGCCGTTGGATGCTGTGTAACCCTTCAATTTGTGGATTTCGGGGTGCATGAGGCGGCAACAGTCAAGGAGAATTTGATAAATGAACACATTGAGGTGAAGATCTGACACCTCTATTGGTCTTTGAGACTGTTATTGACCAGAAAGGGAGCAGAATGTGTTACAGGAAGTTCAGGCTCATTTGGCTGTGTGGCCTTTGATGAACACAGGTCTCAGGTAGGCTCTTGTTTGATTCACTGCCTTGTGTAAAACTAAACTCCATATTCACAATTCGCACCATGATCACATTTAGGCGAAACTCACTTAGGCGAAATGGAAACTCACTCCAGAACCCAGCCACCCTGCTGGTTCCTGGTTCATCCTGCTATTTTTAATCTCTAATGACTTGTCTTTCGAGAAAAGGCCAGGCGCGATTTGAAGGGTTGATGCGTTACTAAGCAACCGAATGAGCTGGCCAGACTGAACAGCTTCCTATTGTCAGCCACCTTGGATCTGATCGATTTTAGGGTTTGGGTTAATGAGATAGGCCACCGGAGCTTCTCTCTTGTGTTCTTAAACAACAATAGGCAGGTTTCTTAATTCCCAGTTTTCTAAAAGTAGCTGGAAAAAGTTTAAAGTTTGAAATATCGAACAAGATTCAGCGATTCCCCCACCTCAAACGTAGCCGTGAATTTCTTTTGGGAGAGAATTTGAAAAAGTGGGATGGAATTTTCCACAGGTTGTTGTGATTATCAGTGTTTTTTTCCCCAACATTTTTAGCAATCAAGAAATGACACCAGGCCACGATGGGTCAGCGGGAGAAGGGGGTTAAGCTGTGATCTACACAGACAATAAATATTAAGAAACAAATCCATCGGAAGTATATTCATAAACATTTTAAAACAGAAAGGGGCATTCAAAAAGATTTTTGTATCTGATTGTATTCCTTGCGTGCGCTGACATATTTCCAAATATCAATATTTGTGGATGTGATAAGGAATGCTTAAATGCATCCATTTTCTAACCACTTCATCCAATTCAGAGTCGTGGGGGAGCGGGAGTCTATCCCAGCAAGAAATGGGCTCGAGGCAGGGTACACCCCGGGTGGGGACGCCAGTCCATCACAGGGCAGACACCCAGGAAGAACACGCAAATTCCACGCAGATACTTTAGCACCCCAGGTCCGAATATTGCACAGTCAAAATTGAAACGATAGTGCTCAACAGGATTCGCGACGAGAACGTCCTCAGTGCCCAAGGCAGCACCCAAGATGTTCCGTCATCGTTACCCCGGATCGGGTGGAGCGCTGTCCTTGATCGAGGAAGTTTCCCTAAAAGCGTCGCCCAGTACGTCCCCCTCCGCGGCGTCCCCGGGCAGCCCCCCCCCCTCCCCCCCGCGCGGGCTTGATGAGGTAGCCACTGAAGGTGATGTAGACGTCGACGTCGTCGCTGTAGACGGCGTTCTCCCGCTCGCGCTTGAAGAGCCGCACCCACACCTCGTCGTTCTGCTCCAGCTCCAGCAGCAGGCTCTGGCTCTGCATGATGCTGCGCTCGCTGGGCTGGGCGTACAGGATGACCTTCTCCTGGTCGTTCTGCATGACGTGCAGGTAGGTCTCCTTGAAGTTCCAGGTGTGGACGTTGACGCTGAAGAAGTAGACCCCCGGCACGTAGCAGTAGAACTTGCCCTTGAACATGTTGAAGTGGCCGTACAGGTTGACGAAGACCGTGTCGAAGACCAGGGCCTGGTAGTACTCCACGCTGTGCAGGGCCTTCCGCCGGCCGACGGAGAAGGCGGAGTGCTGGTGCTTGCAGGGGTCTCCCGGGGCGCCCGCCTGCCCCTTGCTGCCTTTAGGACCCTGGGGTCCTCGGGCCCCTGGTGGCCCCTCTCTGCCTGTTTTTCCTGGTGTCCCCTTGTCGCCCCGATCTCCCTTGTCCCCTGTTCGGGAATAACAAAGAACAAAAGATGAATACCACTCGTCCCCAGCTTCAGCCATAGGGCGTTTGAGTTTAATCCTAGGATTTATCCAGGAAGGATCGAATTGCTCATTCGGACTGCCTTACAGAGCACTTGGAGCTACACTGCTCTTGCGGCATTATGGCTCCGATGGGTTTCTTCAGCAGAAGAAGACTGTGGGTGTTGCAGTGTGACGTGTCCCCATCTGGAAGCTGACGGATTTGTCGGTCACCAGCCTGTGAGCTGGTGGAATTGGGGGTATGGAAACAAGATGGAGGGTGAAATTCTAGCCAGAGACCAGTCATACATGCGCCGTCCTTCTTCTGTTCCTCTTTGTCCTCTGTTGTCTAATCTCGGACCCTCAGGGCTACAAATTCTTGGTCCTTGAGGACCACAGTCTGTCCTCCCAGTTAAGCCTGGACTAAATGGAACGTTCCACTTCTGTGGGAGTGTGGAACAAGCTACCCGGCCACTGTTTTTGATGCCGATGTCCTGGTTTCTTTCAAGAAACAGCTGGATGAGACCCTTCGATCCATTAGCTACTGATTATCAAATGGAATAGATGGTTTTAACTACCTCCTGTCACTTGTGGCCTTGCTTGTGTTTTTGTTTTAATCCCTTTCCTGCAACTCAGGCAAGAAGTTAATGTGCCAAGCTTACATCAACAGCTAAGAATAGTGTTCATCCAATCTGTGGCTGAATATATATAGGCACTTTTGGAATACAACCTTTTTAACTACCATTTTTAGCAAGAAGGCAACAGTTTTAAATGGGGAATGACTTGAATCCTGACTCGACTTTTCTTTTAGGTCACTGGCATACCTGTGGATCTAAGCAGGACTTAAAAAACTGGAAAGTTACCACTAAGCACACAGTGTCTTCTTTGTTCTGGGGTTTTGAAGGTATTGTTTTGAAAAGCATTCAGGCTGCCAAATCCGTCTGGACTTCTGGAGATCACATTAAAAACCGTGAAATTTGATTCCCACACGGAAAATAAAAATACCTGCAGATCAACATGTTAAATCTGTTGCAATCTACTTTGTATATAGCTTGTATTTAAATGTCTGGCGCAAACATTCAGCTCCATTTTATATGTATAAATATTCTGGCATGAGAATCAGGTAACATAATTGTATTCTTGCAAGATGTTTTATGATAGTTGTAACTAATTTGTAGATGTATATAATGAAATGTATGTTTCATTCAGCTCCTAATCAGATAGACATTTCCAAGTACCAAAGTAGTATATGTTGCTTGAGTTCGCTAATTTTTTGTTTACTAGATGAAATGGCATGATAATGAACATCCATCCAATTTAAAGAACTTCAACTGATGCAGTGTTGAGAAGGAGCCAGAGCCTATCCTGCCAAGGAATGGGCACAGGAAAGAGTACGCCTTAGACAGGATGCCAGCCCCATCACAAGGCAGGCAGACCAACGCGCGCACACACTTCCACAGAGCAGGGTCAGTCTTCCCAGAAACTGATTTGAACCACTGATTAAAACACTGCTATTTGGCAGCATCTAAAATAATCATCTATTTTTTTCAATAGGTGATTAACAGTACAGTGCATATGACTGCACCTTAATCTTGTACTAACAGCTTTTTGGTTCTTATTAAGTTAGATCTTGTCTTGGTGTCTGACAGAAGGTCCACTTTTTTTAAAACACCCAAGCTGAATCTCAAGGTTATTCTGGAGAACTCCTGGAACAGCTTTGAGGACCCAGGAGTCTCTCTAAGTTTAGAGTTTCACAACTGTGCAAAGCTGGATGGTATCTACCTTTGAGAATCGTCATGTTGATGTAGGGTCGGATTTCAGGCACCAGGAAAGGGGTGGGCGAGTGAGGTTGAGCGCCCTCTGCTGGCTCCAGGGGGTCACAGCAGCGCCTGCAAGCCGTGGGAGGGGTTTCTGATGGGGGCGGGGCTTGGATCAACGTGGGGAGGAGGAGGAGGAGGAGTGGCAAACAGACTCCAAACATGGCTGCACCTGGAAGAAGATTAAAACCAAAGGTTACAAGCACAAGAAGGTGTAACAGTCCTTGTTGTGTCTTCTGTGTGTATCAGGCCATTCATCCCAGAAACTCCTGAAGGTTATGAAAGTCGCCTTCTGTAATATGGCAGCTTGAGTATCAATGATACTCAAGACTGCAAGAATACCTTCTATTTTAAGGTCTGAAGAGACCTGAGGTTATTTTCCAACAGCGTCCTGCCATCTTGCCCTTTCTAGGGCAAGGCTTTACTATGGTTGTCCCCTAATCCCAATACCTGGTGGTTTTTATGCATTGTTTGCCTAAATATTATCCTTAACTGAACCAATAATATGATTTTGACCTTGTTGATTATAGTCAACTCAGCAAAATTCCACCGTGGGCGTGTCTGTAGCGGTGCCTCTCCCACTGTGGGGTGTGTCTGTTGCAGTGCCACTCCCATTGTGGGGTGTGTCTGTGGCGGTGCCACTCCCATTTTGGGCGTGTCGGTAGCAGTGTCACTCCCACTGTGTGCCTACGGCGGTGTTACCTATGCATCTGTCATGTGAAATGATAGTCTAACTTTCGATCTGAAGAATCGTAGTCTATAGTTAGGACATCAACAAAGTATATGTCTTCTCATAATAATATCTATACTATTTCCAGTGGGTTTTACTAGTGACCATTACATTAGCAATTTTTAAAAGGCTGGAACATTTTAATGGCGATCACTTAAGCAGACGGTGTGTTTAAATTCAATACCAAATAGCTCCGAAAGACCAGAATTTTCTTACCTATTTGTTTAATGGATCAACAATTCACCACGTTTTCATTTCGACTTTAACTGCAATAAAACGCATTCTTCAATGCTGATTTTTAAATAGCTACACGGTTGAATCATACACAGTAGACCTACAGAGCGAGCAACAAATTAAGCGTCCATAGCCCATTTTTGTGTATTGTATGAAGACTATTTTGCAAAAAATATGTTATTAAAGAGTTTGTACTTCAGGTAATGTATTCTAAGTGCATAAATAAACAAACGCATGGTGGTTTAATTACCTGATAACCTTGCTGTATTATTTACACAATATCCCCGTACCATACATCTAAACTGGATACGTACACCGATAAATAAATCAGGCCGTGCGACCTAACAGATGAAGTGTATTACACATCGATTTACGCGTTTTTGCATTTGTGACACAAAGATGTTACCCGTTGCTTAGCTTGACTGGGTGAAAATAACACAACCCTCGAACTATTCGCAGGTCCAGTGAACCAACGCTCATGGAAAACGATGAAGACGGGACGGCTGCCAGGTGTGAACCAGCGATGCTGAGATGACCTGCTGCCAGTTTGCACACCCAGGGCAGCCTCATCAGAGCATGCAATAACAGTAAGAAATATTCATAGGCATGGTCTTAAAATGCCATACAGAATGCGTTCTTTAATACAGTGCTCAATCCGGCGGTGTGACACGGGAAACCGTTTTAATGTGTGAATCACGTCTAATCCCACAGTGGTTTTGCCCTTCAGAGATGAATAATAGACTCAGTAGTTTTTGCTCGCTGTGTTTCCTAAATCTCAGGTCACAGCCAAATCCTTGTAGCGACCACTGCAGGCGTTTGTCTTGGGATCGTGAAAGATCCAAAAGCAAAATGTAACTTTACATCGTAGGCTAAGTAATGACATGTCAGCTTTTGTCTTGACCCCCAACCCCCCCAAAAAAACAGACCAAAAAGTAAAAAAACAAAACAAAAGAGCTACACGTGTCAAACCGCATTCTCGTAAAGAGGTGCTGAGACACTGGTGCGCTCGATTTTAGACATCTGCGGTCAAAACCTATTTCAAAAATATGTTCAAACGTGTGCACATACAGTATTGTTTGAAAATGCATATGCACAAGTTGGATCTGCAAAATGAGTACACTGAAAGGAATAGGAATATATTTGAAGAACAAACTATATATATATAAAAAAAAACATTTGCCGCCGTGCCTGCTGCAAAATCGTATGCTCTTGAGCTTCTTGAAAGCAAGAGGGGACAAGACAATGCACTTTCCAAAAGCGTTCTTTGTTGGTGTTGCCACTTGAAGAAAAGTCAACTCACCTCTGTCTGCAGTTTCTCTCCAAGTGCTGTCGTGTCTGACAGCTGGGGAAACCGCCGGAAAAAATCTCCCTCCCTCCCACTTCTCTCTCTCTCTCTCTCAGTCTTTGTACCTCTCTCCCTCCCTCTCTCTCTCCTGTTCTTCCACGACTTTTCTCTTTCCTCCCCCCTCAGATATTCTCCTCTCTTGTACTTTCGCACCCCACTCTCAGAGGAACTGGGAATTAGGAGAGTTCATTTTACTCCGCTCGCGTACTTTGAATTTCTCTCTCACTTGCGGGCTCTCCGCTCTTTCTCCCTACTATTCCGTGTACTTTTGAATATCCGTGCTTTGTGCGCTGTAACCTGTGTCTCTTCCAGGTTTAATCTGCCTTTGCCTTGAAGGGCATAGACACCTTGGCCTGGCAGCAATCGATGACAGTGAACCTCTGATTCTAGCTGTTCTTTTTTACTCTCTCATTGAAATATGTAACTCCACCCACGATTCCAACGTGGATTATGACTTGTCACCCCGATGCCAGTCCGTCACAGGGCACACACAGAAACGCACACACCAGGGCCAGTTTTCCCAGAAGCGAATCAACGTACCAGTACTGCATGTCTTTGAGTTGGGCTAGAAAACCTGAACACCCTGATGAAACCCATGCAAACCTGGGGAGAACATGCAAACTCCACACGGACAGCACCCCAGGCCGGGAATTGAACCCAGGGCCCCAGTGCCGTGAGACAGCAATGCTATCTAATATACAGTATATCAAAATCATTGTTTCAGTGTGTTTAATTGAAAGTAAGGGCATGGACAAAAGTTAGGGAAGGGATCTGCAGCACAGTGAGCTCCCGCCCTACTCTCTCCCCATCTTCCTCCCTCACTCACTCTCCCTTTCCCCTGTCTCTGGCATGATAGCAATCAGTCCAGCGTCAGGCAGAGACTCTTGAACACTGGATCGGATGAGGATTTACGACCACGCTGGTAATTGGAGCTTCATCGCCTCGGGGCACAGGAGACAGTATCTCGCCATCCGACCCATCCCTCCTCCTGGCTTTTCCAAATCCGCAGTCGGAACTTTTCCACATCACCTCCAGCACGTTAGACACGGAATGCATTCTGTGCGCAACAGTACGTTTGCTTATCTCCCAGGGGAATTTGAAGTCTAAGCCAGAAGGAGGAAAAGCCTAAACACCCTTTTGCAAAGACCATTCCGAACAGCCCAATGCAGTTTGGAGTAACTAACGTGGTTACTTTCATCCGTCTGTCTTTCTGTCAGTCTGTCTAAAATCAGGGTCACGTTTCCAGCCTGCTTCATTGTAAGTAACATAATCAGAATTTCCTGGTTCCCGTCTGGAGAAGGCATATTTTATCCGTGAATAACTTTAATATTTAGTGCTGTATAATTATTTGGCTGGCACTTAGCTCTTACACCAAAGTGACTCATATTTGTTTCCATTCAGACAGCCAGGTATGTTCTTGGAAAGCTGAGTAAAGCATCCCACCTGCATCCACGAATCCACGACTTTCCAGTTCCGGGCCCCCAACCCTTACCAGTACTCCACACTGCGACCCCAAGACCCCATAAGACATCTCTCACCCGTGTTAGTGTAGCACTGAACAACAGCGCCTGCCATCCTTCCCAGATTGGACCCTACGCTCCTGCTGGTCCTGCTGGGTCGGCTGCTCCAGAAGCCCCCTACGAAAAAATACTTCGATTGGCTCGTTAAACCAACCCGTCGATTCGGAGCGGAACTGGGAAGATCACACGCTGCAAGGTCTTGATCTGTCCGGCCCATATCCTGTCCAGGGCCGCCTCCTCATCTGACAGATCCAAAGAAGCAAGGATCTATTTACTCTCATGTTCTTGCGAGCCAGTCTTTCGAAGTCCCGAGCAGTGCCTGCTTTAGAATGGGTTGGATTCAGTTCATGAATTAGGGGAAACTGATTATTCACTTCA